GGCAAAAGGATTGCCTGAGCCCAGCAGGTTGAGGTTGCAGTGGCCGTGAGTGTGGCCTGGGTGACAGAATGAGCCTCCGACTCAGGAAAAAAAAGTCATTTTCTGCTGCTGCCTGTTAGTTCGCATGTGAGGCCTGGAGCTGTGGCAGACATTTTAAGACCATGAGGGGAGATGAGGCCCCTCAAGCTAATGATGGCAGAAAGAGAAAACAGAAAGAACCTGGGTCCCTAATAATGTCAAACTGCTGAACTGGTCAACCCTGGAATCGCCCTACCTCAGGGCTTCTTGTAGAAGATAATCAATATGTGAAATGCTGCGTTGTGCTTCTGTTACTTGTAGCCATGAGTAGTCTCACAGCTGAAAATACTCTGCCCACATTGACTGACATAATAGGGTGCCCTGACAGAGGCAGAGCTACCACATGCATACAGCTGGCACTGGTGACACCTTGCTCTTCAGGGCTCTGTTTGCTCATGCACACATGTGTGATGCTTACTGTTTGGGCCTACAGGAGAGGGAGGGTTTGGGGCACAGGCCCTGGTGGTGGAGATGGGGAAGTGTCACAACGATGTGAAGATGTCTTTCTTCCCTTCTGGGATGTCCCTTAACCCTTGGTGTGAGTAATCACCTTTGAGCCCTGATGGAGAGAGGGGTAGGCTGGCAGTTGGTAGAGTAGTATTCATGGAAAATGTTGTGAGCCCCTGAGGGGCTTCAGGGCCCACTGGTCAGAGCAGAGCAGCAGCACAGGGGATGGTTCAGGAGGCTGCTGCAATAGTCTAAGTGGAGAGAAAAAAGGGACCTGGCCCAGGAAAGTGGCCATGGTGTGGTGAGGGGTGGTCACACAGCGCCTGCAAGGGAGGGACACAAAGAGAAGGGCGTACCCACGGCCTCGGTGATGTGTGAACATAGAGCCTGGGGCCCTTGTCTGGCAATCTGGGAGTGACACATCCTGGTGTGACTTTTCTACTCTTGTAGAGGACATCGATTCTGGGGAAAGAGTAGGTCATTGGGGGAGGGTCACATGGGCCAGCAGACAGGGGAGCAGGATGGAGCCCGGATTCCCACTTCTGGTTTGAAGGTAAATATGGGGACAAGTATCACATCTAGGAGATGAGGCTTTGGTGTAATTTCTGGGGTTGTAGTACTCACCTGTGGGAGCGCTTCTGGTAGTGCTTCTGTTCACAGCTGTCTGGCCATGGAAGGAGGGCAGCCTTGGGGTTTTGTGCACACTCCCAGGGGCCCAGGCATCCAGCTGGGAAAGTCCACAGCTTTGCATCCGGTACTTGCTTCCTAACTGCCACCTGCAATTTCCGAGAGCTACGCAAGGCCTTTGCATGCTCGCTTCCTCCTTTCCCACACTGACAGGCATGTTGAGATGCAATCAGAGTTTGGCCCCAGTGTTGGTGACAGGTGGGCCCCTGCAGCTGGGTTCTGTTGCCATAGCAACAAGGTAGGGAAAACTGCCCCCAGAGCTCAGGGGCTGATTAGACCTCAGGGCCAGCCCATCATCGCCTGTCACCATGTCTTTCCAGGCTCTGCTGCGTGAGAGTGTCCAGGATGACACAGGAATTTTCTGAGACAGGAAATGCAAGTGGATGGGAAATTAGAGGCTTAGCCAAAGATATTGTCTCCTTTCCCCTCCCCATGTATATTTACCACCAGCGACCACAGACATACAATTTCCTGTCTCCTTGTCAACTAGTGGCAGCCACTAAGAAGGCAGTACCACTTCCTGTTGACATTTGGAGTATCATGAAGCATTATTTGGAGTGGTCTGAAAATTTTCTGATGCTCCACTGTGTGACCTAACATTGAACTTAAGTGTCTTAGTCAGCTTTGGCTGCCGTAACAAAATACAGACCACAGACTGGATGGCTTAAATAAAAGACATTTCTTTTTTCACAGTGCTGGAGGCTGGGAAGTCCAGCTGGCTGATTTGATTTCTGCTAAGAACTCTCTTTCTGGTTTGCTAATGGCTGCCTTCTTGCTCTGTGCTCATTTGGCCTTTTCCTCTGAATGCTCGTGGAGAGAGAGCAAGTTCTCTGATTTCTTCTTACAGGGGCACTAATTCTATCATGGGAGCCCCACTTTCATCACCTTATCTATCCTAACTACCTCCCAGAAGTCGTGTCTCCAAATACCATCACACGGGGATTAGGTCTTCAACATATGAATTTTGGGAGGACACAAACATCCAACCTATAATGTGGGACTTGCACAATTTGAAAGTGGTCTTTCAGTACCTATTAGGAAGCATTTCTTATTTTATTCATTATTAATTAATTCATTCAACAATTTAAAAAATATATTTTGAATGCCAGCCTAATGTTTTGGGGATATAGCGGCTAACAAAACAGACAAAAATTTCTGCTGCCATGAGGTTTGACTTTTAGTGGTCAGAGATGGGAAAATTTACAAGTAAGTAAGTATTTACATAATCAGTGATAAGTGCAATTAAACAAGTATAAAGCAGGGAAGAATGCTGGGGAAATGAGAGGTGGGGACTTGCTCTTTTATATGGAGATATTGGGGAAGAATACCAAAGCCCACAGCATGTTTGCTTTGGAGTCCCTGGCTGCTTTTGTGTCAAGGTTACCATCTCCCACAGGCCTCTTCCTGACAAGGTTGACCTCTTCTGGGAAACACAGGACTGCCTCATCAGCACTTGAGCTTAGGGACTTCCAATGGCTTTGCTGAAACTTCTTTAGTTTGCACAGCACTAGAGGATTCTTCCACTCAACCTTTTCTCTTTCCTCCTTCCCTTGGGGTCAGAATTGTGCCACTGTCCCACTGCAATCCCTTCTTCCCCTGCTCCAACACTATTTCCTCTCACAAGGCAATTCCCCTAATAAAAGCCTTGCATGGTTAATCTTACTGCAGCAACTGCTCCTCACAGGACCAGGACTAACACATTTGATGGAATTTGAGAGTAGACCATGTGGATTGCTGAGGGAAAAGTGTTCTGGGTTGAGGGAACAGAGACTGCAATGGTTCTAGGGCAAGAGCGTGGCTGGTTTGTATTGAATCTAGAATTTGATTTCATCTTATTTACATGCTAATAGGTTAGCCTGTGACTATTTCCTGGATGCTGGCACGAGACTTCTGGGTCAGAGATAAATGTTTTAGTACTCATGACACAACCACACATCCTGTTGGGCAAAACAAGTGAATAGAACAGTCCAGAGTCACGGGAGGGGAAGTGGATTCTTACTCTTGAAGCGGGACTGCAAAGTCACATTGCAAAGAGGAGTGGATGCAGGGAGGAGTCATTGCAGTTTTTCAAACAACCACCACAGTAAGGACTGGAGCCAGGATCCCCAGGTCCTTGATGACACAGAGAAAATTTGCCAAATGATCTAGCAAGGCCTCCTGGGAGACTTAAGTCCTTAGCATTACCCACTTCTTTTTTTTTAATTTTTAATTTTAAACATGTGGGGTACAATTCAGGGTTAGGTATACAAATGTTCATTATGCAGGTACCCTTGTTGTTGAGGTGTGAACCACCTCCACTCTTCTGGCAGTTTCCCACGACTGCCAATCCCTTTCTTATAGTATTATGATAATTGTTCAAGGTCTGCTTATGAATGAGAACATGTGGTACTCAGTTCTTTGTTTCTGTGATAGATCACTCAGTATTATAGACTCTAAGTCCATCCAAGTTGTTGCAAAGTTCATAATTTTGTCCTTATTTATGGCTGCATAATATTTGGCCATCATCAATAACCCCCAAAACAACAGATGCTGGAGAGGATACAGGGAAAAGAGAACACTTCTACACTGTTGGTGGGAGTGTAAACTAGTACAACCTCTGTGGAAAACAGTTTGGTGATTCCTAAAAGATCTAAAAATTGACCTTCCATACAACCCCACAATTTCCCTTCTGGAAATATACCCGGAGGAACTCAAATCACTCTATAAAAAAGACACCGGCACACACATGTTTATTGCAGCATTATTCACAACAGCAAAAACATGGAACCAATCGTGCTGCCCACTGAAAGAGGACTAGTGGCTCAGCCTGTAATCCCGCGCCTTTGGGAGGCTGAGGTGAGTGGATTGCCTGGGTTCGAGACCCGCCTGGGCAGTGAGACCTCATCTCTACAATAAATCAAAAAATCAGCTGGGTGTGGTAGCGCATGCCTGTAATTCCGGCTACTTGGAAGTCTGAGGCAGAAGGATCGCCAGAGCCCAGCAGGTCGAGGCTGCGGTGGCCGGGAGCGGCCACTGCACTCCAGTCTGGGCAACACAGTGAGACTGCAACTCAAAAAAAAAAAAAAAAAAAAAAGCCTTACCCCGTTCTTAATCAGACCTCTAAGAGCTGACTACCCTCCTGCCAGGGACCAGCTGCTGCCTCCCTGTGGGGCTCGCAGAGAACACAGCCACCACCTCTCCTGCTGACCTGGGGCTGACACGGATCACATGAACCTGCCATTGTTCATGTCCTGTTTGGTGAGGAGAGAGTGGGACAGGCGGAGACAGGCTCTGAATGACAACTGCGCCTGATCTCACCCCTACCGTAATTACTACAATACTTGCTCTGCCGCTGGGGTCCAGCTTGCCACCGAATTAGGAAAGCAATTTGTTCATGCGGAACGTGTCACTGTCGGAAGTTTTGTCTCTCATCATTAACTAATTTGCTGTGCTCCACCACAGCCCTTGTTATTTATAACCATGGTAACAATGCAGAGAACCGCACATGAGTTCATTTTGGCCTCTAGAAGCCCAGGCCTGGTCTATTTCTGTCTCTGGGATCCAGAGAGGCAGGGTGAGTCGGAGGCACCAGAGCTGGGGCACAGTCCCGAGCCTATCCTTGGTGTGGCTTCAAGGATGAACTTCTCCTCTGGGACTTCAGTTTCCCTAAGTGTGAAGTGAGGGTGTTGGGTCAGGGATCTCCGCGGGGTCTTCCGGCAGTGTCTTTCTAGGGGTCCAAGAGTCGCGTGTGTTGGGATCTCAAGAGAGGGTTCTTCAGCTCACACAGGGGCCACCAGTCACCTGCGGACATGGGGCTGGATGTCGGCAGTGGTGTGTTGCCGCCGCTGCATCTGGTGGGTACCCTTTTTCTGCTAATTTGGCGTCCTCACTATATAATTATACTGTGAAATTCCCTGACTGAAGACAAGCTTTTAAAAATATCTTTCCCTGACTCCCACCACTCATTGCCCAGATTCGTGAATGGGGAAAGTGGGTGTTTGCAGCTTCTGGCGGAGAACGAGGGATGTTATGCAACCCGCCCTTGTTGAATTTCCCAGCACTGCCCCCATGTTCGGCCCCAGGAGGGAGGAATAGGGTTTTTTTCTGATTGGGAGGGCGTAGATTTTGACCTCTCTGGGACTCAGTTTCCCCATCTGTGAAGTGGGGAGAAAGGTATCTTCCCTATGGATGAGAAAGAGACCATAGGGTGTGTGATTAGAAGCTGGGCTTTCTCCCTACTCACGTGATCTTTGGTTGGGGACTTCACTCCTCTCAGCCTCAGTTTCCCCATGTATAAACTGGGTCAGTAGTAGTTATCTTCCAGAGGTGTTGTGGGGACTTTCGTGAGATACCAGCAAAAAACACCCTGTGTTGAGTCGATACTCAGCACTTGTGTTTATTGGGCATGATGCCCAATTGCACCCACAGGATCTTGCTATCTGGGTGTGTCTTCCGGCTGGCTGTGGGCTGGGTCATCAGTCCAGCAAGATGTGGCCGGAGCTGGCAGCTAATGGGCCTGTCAGCTCGATTCAGAGCACTTCTTGATGCTCCCCAGAGGCATGTGCCGATGCCACATTGATAAGCCCCATGCGCCTGATGGACTCCTGACATTTCCTGCCTTCATTCCCCTGTCTGCCTGGGTCAGTGGTCAGACTGAGTCACAGCCACTCCCTGCAGCCCTAGCTGCCCACTGACCTGGGGCACAGGGTGGGAGGCCACTTGGCAGAGTCAATCCACTAATAGGGTGCTCTTTCTCTGTTTATATTTCAAAACTTTATCTTCTTTTTCTTGCTTAACAGGCTTATTGTTCCTTCTTGCATACGGAAGATACTTAGACTGCCTTTACCATTATTTATCTATTGTGCATGTCAACATGGGTTTATTTAAACATAGATAAAAGTCTGGAAGGATACTTACCTCCGGGAGTTAATAGTTGTTACCTCTGGAGAGAGGGACTGGGAGTGGGGTGATGCACCCTCTTCTTTATAGACTCAACAAAGTGGTGGGATTAGCAAAATGGCTTAATTTTGGTTTGAGCAAATGCTCTTCTGTGTATTTTATGTCTAAAATTTGTTTCTAAAAAGTAAACAACATGGATTGCTTTGGAATTGGAAATAAAATTTCAAAATTTGAGATGATAATTGATAAAAATGCTTTTCAGGAGAAGGCACACCTTCCTCCTATTTCTTTGTTTAAGTCAGATTTATCTGTACTGGTCACCTACACCCAGCGATTAATCTGTATGTTCAAACTCCCCGTGGGACCGCATGTTTCTCATCCTCCTCACTTTACAAATGAGCCAGCGCCGCCTCTGTCAGGGGTCCTGCACACATGTCATCTAGTTCAGGCCTGTGTTGGTTCTGCAGGGTGGCTTTTCTTTCGCTGTTGCATGTACAAAGATGTGCACTGTGGCACTCCGTGGGCTCATCTCCTTGCGAAGGCTGAACATAGACTTCGTGAAGACTTAAGGATCTGTAAGCTCCATAGCTCCCTTGGGGAAAGATGCTCTGCAGTGCTGACCCCTGGGTTAGCCACCCTGCTCCCCACTCCAGAGAAAACTCCAGGACTGGTGTGGTGGGAGGTGATAATCTCACCTTGAACCTGAGGGATGTCTAGCCAGTGTTGACTCAGTTCAGGGGTACCTCCAGAGCAGAGTGACTTTGCCTCTCCCCCCAAGATTTTCAGAGTTCTCTTGGGTTGGCATCAGGAACTTGTCTTTTGAGACTGAGGGTAGCATTTCTTTTTTTTGAGACTGGGTCTCACTCTGTCACCCAGACTGGAGTGTGGTGGCACCATCACAACTCACTGCAGCCTCCACCTCCTGAGCCCAGGTGATCTTCCCACCTCAGCCTCCGGAGTAGCTGGGATTACAGGTGCACGCCACCATGCCCAGCGAATTTTTTTGAAGAGACAAGGTCTCATATGTTGCCTAGGCTGATCTTGAACTCCTGGACTCAAGCAATCCTCCTGCCTTGACCTTCCAAAGTGCTAGGATTATAGGCGTGAGCCACGACGGCCAATCACAATTTTTAAAAGTCAAGTTGAAAGCTTATCCCTTGGTCATCTGCACAGCCAGGGTGGGGTCAGAGAGGGACAGACAATCCTGGACCCACATAAGGGGGTGTAGGAGTGGGGGGACACTGACTCATTTCTGTGGGGCCTCAATGAAGGGTTTGAATCCTGACCCTGTCACTAATTAGCTGTGTGATCTTAAATAAGTTACGTAATCTATCTGAGCCTCAGTTTTTCTCTCTGCAAAAGAGGGATTCAAAATACTTCACACAAGGGAGAGGACTCTATCATATGAGATCACATCTCATTAATAATAATGATCACAAGGCAAGTCATCAGCAATATGACAGGAAAATATTCTGTGCCAGGCAGCCTGAGTAAACATGGGTATGTAGAAACTCTGCCGTCTCTGTGTGAGAGAAAACCCAACTTTCTCAGCTCTGTGTGGTTATAGGGGAGGGGACCAGGTGTTGTGGAGGTGCCATGTGACCTGGGCTCTGTTCTGGCTTTTGCTGCTTACCTGTAGGGTGGCCTTGGGTGAGTCCTTCCCTTCTCAGGCTCCCAGAGCTGGGCTGGCCAAGTCCATGCCCCTTTCTAACCCAGAAGGAGGCAATGACTGCAAGATGCCCATGTCCACGCTGTTATGTGGTCCTTCTCCTCAGACCTACCCCTGCTGACCCTTCTCTCCTTATGCGGGACGAGTGTTGTAACCAGGGGGATTGTTAGGGGGTGGCTGTTGTGTGTCTCCCCCCAGTTCCTGGCAGAGCCCGGCTGGGCACTCCAGCTGCCACATTGCTGAGTCAGACCTCTCAGCCACCGCCCTGCTTGTCACCCCGCGGGCTCCACGGCCACCTCAGACTCGAGTCTTTCCTGGGATCACAATGACCTCAAAGTTCCAGGCCCCAGGTCCCGCATGAATCTGCATACAGGCCTGAGGTTCTACATTTCACTGGGTCCACCATGCCTGGGTCTTCTGGAATTACCCACCCTGGATCTCTGAATGTCCACCCTCTTTTGTGGGGATCCTGAGGATGTCCCGGTAATCTTTTTTGGAGCGAGGCAGAAATGGTTGTTTCCCCTGACACCACGCTACAACCTGACCCGGAACCAGCAGCACTGCACAGGGCATCAATGGAGCCTTGAGAAGCCGCCAGCCTCTTTCCTAGCCACTGTCCTTGGCTGGGCTATGCTCCCCTTCGCTCCAGGCCTGCCTGGGACACAGACTTGCCCTCCACATGCACCCCTCTAGCTCTTCAGGGTTTGGAAGTCACTGACCAGGCCTAGCTGGGTCCCGGGAACGTATTTCCACCAGTTTGCCTCACCAGTGCCCCTGCAGCACCAGCTCAGCCTGCCACATCAGGAGGTCAACAAGGATGGGGGCGGTGTGGAGGCCACATTTCCTGCTGACGTCTGTGGCCGATCAGACAGTATCATGCAACCCGAAGTGGGGACACAGGGTTGGGACAGGGATGGCCTCTCAGGGTGCACCTGGCCAGGCATGGTAGCTGACACCTGTAATCTTGGCATTTTGGGATGTCAAAGCAGAGGATCTCTTGAGCCCAAGAGTTTGAGACTAGTCTGGGTAACGTATTGAGGTCCTGTCTCTACAAAAATAAACAAAATCATAACAATATTAGCTGGGCATGATAGGTCAATCTCTTGAGGCCAGGAGTCTAAGACCAGCCTGGGTGGCATAGTGAGACCCTGTCTCTCTAAAAAAAACTCAAAAAACAACATAACACAATATTAGCTGGATGTGATGGGAGGGCCACTTGAGACCAGGAATTTGAGGCTGTAGTGAGCTATGATTGCACCACTGCACTGTAGCCTGGGTAACTGCATGAGACCTTGGTTCAAAAAAAAAAAAAAATACACTGAGGGCAGTATGGCTGGCCCAAAGGTGAGCTGTGTGTACCAACAAAAAGGGTGTGCAAGTGTCCATTTCACCCCCTTGCTCCTGAACCTGGTGAGCAAACGAATGCTAAGTCCCAAGATAGGCAGATTAGGGAAGGAGCGGGGCAGAACTGAAACCCATGGAGATTTAGTGGTGAGGACAGTGTCATCAGCAGCAGAGACTGGACCACAGTCCCAACTCCCTGTCCAGGATCTCCCACACCCGAGATCTCCGAGTTTTTCTAAGTGTCCCATAGTGGCTCCATTGGGTGACGCATCAAGTCATCCCCAGGTGTGGCTGCTAGGACGTGTAGGCATCTGGATGCTCCCAGCAGTCCTGGTGACTGGCCTTGGGCAGTATCTGCGACACCTAACTGGGCTTGCAGGGGTCTGTGCTGGGGCATACTCTTGCAGCGGGTGAGCTGCCCTTCTCAGAACCACAGCCTGGGTGGCTCCAGGGCCAGCAATTGACAGGAAAGAAGGAATGCCATGAGCCAGGGAATAGTGGAAATTAATAGTGGTAATTAATTGCTAAATGTGTGCAGAGACCATGGCAACGCTCTGATGACAAAGGCAGAAACCTTATTGGTAGGTTGGGCTCCAGAAGACTGCATTTCTTTGTAAACTACTTGCACTGGCTTTGTGGAGATCCAGGGGCTACGGGTCATGAGTAGCTTTGAAGTCAGCCTGGATCCTGAACCTCACTCTACCTTCCTCTTCCTCACTACGTCACTGTGAGCAGCTTGCTGTACTTCCCTGAGCCCATTACTTCATCTGTAAAATGGGGAGAAGTCCCAGTTTACAGACCTCTGAAGAGTCGATGAGGTGACATGTGTGAGGGGGGATGGGCTTTGGAGCCAGTTCAAATTCTGGCATCATCGCATATTAGCTGTGTGACGTTGGGACAAGTCATCAACTGCTGTGAGCCTCAGTGCCCTCATCTGTAATAATAGTACCCATAATACATCAGCATCATTGTGAGGATTAAATAAAATAATAAATACCAAGGGCTAAGCACACATAGCTTATAGGACATTGCAACATTCAATAGAATTTACCTATAAAAACACCCTATTATGAAATGTTTATAGGGTCTCCGTCATGTCCACGAAAGTACTGATGATAGCAACATTTCCTAGTGCTTATCATGTGCCAAGTGCCATTCTAAGCCCTTTGCCTTTTTTAAGAGATAGGGTCTTACTGTCACTCAGGCTGGAGTGCAGTGTTGCAATCATAGCTCACTGCAGCCTCAAAGTACCAGGCTCATGTGATCTTCCTGTTTCCGCCTCCTGAGTAGCTGAGACTACAGGCATGCACCACCAGGATGCCTGGCTAATTTTTAAAAATCATTTTTGTAGAGATAGGGCCTCACTGTGTCACCCAGGATGGTCTTGAACTCCTGGCATCAAATAATCCTCACACCTTGGTCTCCCAAAGTGCTGGGATTATAGGTGTGAGCCATCACACCCGGCCTAAGCTCTTTACATGTGTCAGCTCATGTAATTCCCCTAACAACCCAATGAAGTAGATGCCATAATTATCCTTGCTTTATGGATGAGGAGGCTGAGGTTTATTTAGTGTCTAGTGACCAAGTGAAGCAGAACTTTGAGAACTTATCTGGAAAAGCTAGCCAAAACAGGTGGCTCGTCTGGTGAAGCCCAGTCACCCTGGGCTGTTTTGTTTCTCAGATGTTCTGCCTTGAGAGGTGGCCACTATAACATCTTGTCCTCTCCAGGTTGGGGGGCAAAGGCTTGGCACTCCACCTGGCTTTTCTGGAGGACTTGGGGTCCTGCCCTACCTGGAAGTACTTCCCATCCAAATCTGCTCTTGTCCCTCTTCCTATACATTGCTTGGTGATGCCACTGTCCAGGCCTGTAGCCCCCAAAGTTTGGGTGTCATTTTAGACAGGATAGATGGAAGCATTCTGGGCAGTGGAGGCAGAAGGTGAATGAGGACATAAGGACATCAGGTAGCCTTCTCGAGCCCGGAGTCACTGCCACTGACCCTAGTACCCCCACCGCGGGGAGGGCACCAGGTCACTGCATTCAGAGGGTCCCAGAAGAGGGAGGAGGCACTGCCTCCGCTTCAGCAATTGCACCCGCGGTGCAGAGTATCAAGTGTGTGGTGGTGGGTGACAGGGCTGTAGGCAAGACGTGCCTGCTCATCTGCTATACAACCAACGCTTTTCCCAAGGAGTACATCCCCATGGTGTCTGACAATTATAGCGCCCAGAGTGCAGTTGATGGGCGCACAGTGAATCTGAACCTGTGGGACACTGCGGGCCAGGAGGAGTATGATTGCCTCTGCACACTCTCCTACCCTCAGACCAATGTTTTTGTCATCTGTTTCTCCATTGCCAGTCTGCCCTCCTATGAGAACGTGTGGCACAAGTGGCATCCAGAAGTATGCCACCGCTGCCTGACATGCCCATCCTCCTGGTGGGCACCAAGAAGGACCTGAGAGCCCAGCCTGATACCCTATGATGCCTCAAGGAGCAGGGCCAGGTGCCCATCACACAGCAGCAGGGCCAGGCACTGGCCAAGCAGATCCACACTGTACACTACTACCTCGAATGCTCAGCCCTGTAGCAGGATGGTGTCAAGGAAGTATTTGCTGAGGCTGTCCGGGCTGTGCTCAACCCCACGCCCATCAAGCGTGGGTGGTCCTGCATCCTTTTGTGACCCTGGCACTCAGCTTGGAGGCTGCCCTTGCCATTCCCCCACCAGTTGTGCCTTGGCGCCTTGTCTACCCCAGCTGTGCCTTACGGACTAATTCTGGCACCCCTTTCCAAGGGGCTCCCTGAATGCCTTTTTCTCCGACTACCTTTTTCTTCATAAAGAGGCCTGCAGAGAAAGGGGCTTTGGGCCCTGCTCCACTCTGCTTGGAAACACTAGTTATTCTCATGAGCTCACCCAAGCCAAGGATGGACCCCTTCCCAAGAGGCCAATCCAGTACCCCTTCCCTATTTTCTGCTACTGACCAGTTCATCCAGCTTTCCACAGTTGCTGCTGCCTATTGTGGTGCCTCCTCTGGGGTTAGAGGCTCTCAGCCATCTCTAACCTCTGCCCCTGCTGCTCTTGGAATTGCACCCCTAAGATGCTCTCTCCCTTCCTCCAGGAAGGAGTCACAGAATCCTGAGAAGATGAATGTACCCTAACCTGCTTCCATGTGCCCAGGCCTTATACATCTACTGACCGACTCAGCCCCTGTGGTCCTGGGGGCCTTTCTACTCCCATCAATATCAATAAAACCTCCTGTCTCCAGAGGGGAAAAAAAAAAGACATCAGGTAGCATTGTATCCTTTGGAAAATGCAAATTACTCTGCACAGCTGAATGGTTTGGGACTGGGCAGGGGATGTGTGTTGGGGAACCCCAGAGGTGAGGGGTTGAGAGGTAGGTGGGATCTAGAGCCATGGCTCCCCACCTAACACGCACAGGGGAATCACCTGGGGAGCTTCAAGAGTGCCACTGCCTGCGCCCCATCCCAGAGACTCTGGCTGACTAAGGACTGAGCTTTTGAAAAACTTCCTGGTTGATTCTGACTCCATTTGAGACCCGATGTTCTAGAAGATCATTTAAGGATATGTAGGTCACACTACATATGTAGACCCACACTGTCTGGTAAATTCATGAACTTTAGATAATCCCGCGCCTTTGGGAGGCTGAAGTGAGTGGATTGTCTGAGCCCGCGGGTTTGAGACCCGCCTGGGCAGCGAGACCTCATCTCTACAATAAATCAAAAAATCAACTCGACGTGGTAGCGCAGGCCTATAATTCCGGCTACTTGGAAGGCTGAGGTGGAAGGGTCGCCGGAGCCCAGCAGGTCGAGGCTGCGGTGGCCGGGAGCGGCCACTGCACTCCAGTCTGGGCGACAGAGTGAGACTCCAACTCAAAAAAACAAAACAAACAAACAAACAAAAAATAACTGCAGTGGCTGCCATATTGGGCAGTGCGGATATAAAACATTCCCATCATCCCAGAAGTTCTCTTGGGAGGACTGATGTAGACTTCATCTGGTTGGCCATTAGAAACCATTTGGGGATTTTAAGAAGGGAAGGGACCTGGCCAGGTGTTTGCTTTAGAAAGAAGATTCAGGGGCAGTATAGAAAATGGATTCAATGGAGCCGATGCTATGAGATTAACAGTGGAGAGAATAATGAGGGGATTGTTTTGATAGTCCAGGTGGAGAGAAAGCCCTAAGTAGAGCCTTAAACACTGGTGCTGGAGAGGTTGGGGTAGATTTGAGAAAGGTGAGGAACACAGGCACTGCAGAGTAGGCAGGCCCCATTGGGTGAAGGGTGAGGGAGGAGGACAGGTTTAGGCCATCCTCATATTTGCTATTTATTTATTTTAGATTCGGGGGGTCCATGTGCAGGGTTGTTCCATGAATACCTTGCCTGATGGTGAGGTTTTGGCTTCGACTGAACCCATCACTCAAATAGTGACTTAAGTACTCAAGAGTCATTTTTTAGTCCTTGCTCCCTTCCTTCTTTTCTGTACTTTTGGAGTTCCCAATGTCTGTTGTCCCCATCTTTATGTCTGTGTGTACCTGATATTTAGCTCCCACTTATGAGAACATGTGGCATTTGATTTCCTGTCTCTGCATTAATTCACTTAAGACAATGGCCTCCACTGCATCCATGTTGCTGCAAAGGACATGATTTTGTTCTTTTTATGGCTGTGTAGTTTTCCATGGTGTGTATGTACCACATTTTCTTTATCCAGTCCACCATTGATGGTCCTCATGTGTTGGATCAGTTATCTGGAGGTTCCTTCATGACTCCATTCAGGTGATTCTGCTCCCCAGGGGACATTTGACCACACCTGGAGACATTTTTTTCCCTATTTCTGTTTGAGTAGGAGTCTCCCTCTCCTGGCTGAAGTGCAGTGGCCTGCTCACAGCCACCGCACCCTCGACCTGCTAGGCTCAGGCCATCCTTCCACCGCAGCCTGGAACTAGAGATGCATGCCACCATGCCCAGCTAATATTTTGATATATTGTAGAGACGAGGTCTTGCCAAGTTGCCCAGACTTGTCTCGAACTCCTGGGGTCAGGCTATCCTCTTGCCATCACCTCCCAAAGTGCTGGGATTACAGGCATGAGCCACTGCACCTGGCTGGAGACATTTTTGATGATCACAATTCAGGGGGCTGGGGGTGTGACTGGTGTCTCATGGGCAGAAAGCAGGGATAAAGCAGAGGTTGGTGAACATTCCACAATTCATGGGACAGTCTCCCAGACCAGAGAGTTATCCAGCCCACAAAGCCAGGAGTGTCGAGGCCAAGATGCCCTGTTCTGTGGGATGGAGGAGGGAGACCTGTCTAGGTAAGGTGGTAAAGATAATGGATGGGTTGAATGTACTGGGCTTCCAGTTCTTGTGTGAGCAGTGGGTGGAGCTTTCTAGCAGATGGCCAGATCTGGAGCTCAGGAAGGAGGATTGGGCGAGGCTAAGCACCTGGATGTGGTGCCACCTCTCCTGCATCAAGACCACCTAGTGGCTGCCCTGGACGCCTGGGTAGGGTGCTGAGAGTGGAGCCTCAGGGAGTAGCCTCACTCCAGGGAGAGGTAGAAGGGGAGGAGGTCACATCTTTGGAAAGTTCTTCATATGAAACAAAGCGCTACTCCCCTTCAGTCCCTGCCTTCCTAGTACCCATAATGCCCCATCCACCTGTAACTTCAAGGACTGCAGGCAGTAATGACATGTCTTTGCTGCCAGTACCCTAGTCCTTTACTCCTCAAGGCTGTATGTTCCCAACACCTTGGGTTGTTTATGAGTGACGTCTTCCAGGCTGTTCTCTGGGCATGGACCTTCTGCCATGGGAAGGAAGGATGGGAGGGAAGGAATGCCTTTCACTCCCAAATGCCCTTGTGTCTTGCACATGCCATATGTATACACAGAGGGTACACACTGCAGTGTACTCAAGCACTGGGCTTAGGGCATTTTTGGTAATGAAGTGGGAGAGTGATGTCAGCCAACTTTGAATAATGAATAAGAGTTCATGTCTACCCAGTATCTCAGAATATGACCTGATTTGGAGATAGGGCTTTTGCAGACATAATTAGTTAGTGATCTTGAGATGAGATCACCCTAGATGTAGGTTAGACTCTACATCCAATGACTGATGGTCCTTATAAGAGGAGGAGAGGACAGAGAGATACAGAAATACGTTCACATGAATTCATGCTCTGGAGCTGTGCTGCCACAGGCCAAGGGATGCCTGGAGCCAGCAGAATCTGGAGGGAAGGAAGGAGCCTCCCCTAGAGCCTTCAGAGGAAGGGTGGCCCACCTGACACCTTGATTTCAGACCTCTGGCTTCCAGAACCGTGAGGGAATAAGTTATACTGTTTTAAGCTACCCGGTTTTTGGTACTTTGTTCTGGCAGCCCTGGGACACTAATACAATCTCCTGTGTTTAAATCTAAGTGAATACACCCTGACACAAATATTTAATCCCAGACATGCTTGTCAAGTTTCCTGAGGTTTATTGGTGGGGTGACAAAGGCATCTGGGCTCTCTCCCCAAACACTGCCTTCCATCAAGTGACAATTGGTGAGTAATATTAGAGGGGCAAGGGAGGCGCAATGAACCCTGGACTCCGAAGCAGCTTCCAGTAGCTGGCCAACCAATTTTAGGGCAGAGTGAGATTTGGTGTAGTTTCTCATTCAGAATAATAATACATTATAGGCCAGGGGCAGTGGCTTATGCCTGTAATCCTAACACTTCGGTAGGTTGAGGCAGGAGGATTGCTTGAGCCCAGGAATGTAGCAATGTAGTGAGACCTCATCTCTACTAAATAAATAAATAAACAAAGAAACAAACCAAGTGTGGTGGTGAGCACCGTAGTCCCAGAGATTCTGAGGCTGAGGCAGGATGATCACTTGAGTCCTGGAGGTCGTAGATGCAGTGAGTTATGATTATACGACTGCACTCCAGCCTGGGTTACAGACTGAGATCCTGACTCAAAAAAAAAAATTATAATATTGTTTATGGTAACTAATATTTGTTGGGTACTAATTATGCACTAGTACTTATAGGCAGTTCTTAATGTGATATCTCCACTCTTCAGTCCTATTTTATCATGTATCATTGATGAAGAAACTAATGTTCAGAGAGATTCTCTAAGGCCTCACAGCTTATAGGAGGTGAAATCCAGATCAACACCGACAGGTCTGGCATCAGTGGTTTTTAGCCATCACACATGTGGCCTGCAAAGTGATGAAGTGATGAAATTGGTGAATATCCCCCGTTGACGATCGTGGCCAGCTTTGGAGCTCTCGGGGTACCTGGTTTGATAATGTGGGCTCTAGGTGAGCAGAGGAAGGAAAAACAGTAAGTGCTGATTCAATGCCTTGCGGGGATGCTGGAAAAATTAAACTGTTCCGGGGCCTCCACGGGCCACCTTTGAATCCTGGGATGAGAGGCTCTCTAAAGAGAAGTGGCCCACTTGCTGCTGTCACAGATGCTACGGCTCCACGTGACATCTGTTTGTCCTGCCCTTGGCCCCTCACTCCTGCCTACTTGGCCTCAGATGGAAACGAAATGAGGCCTAGGAGTATATCAAGCCACGAGCCCTGGCGGGTGGGCTGCAGACCGGAACAGCGTTGGCATCACCTGGGGGCTTGTCAGAAATGCGGGCTCTCAGGCCGCCCCAGACTTGCTGAGTTAGAATCTGTTTTAGGAAAATGCCCAGGGGATTTGTGTGCACATGACAGGGTGAGAAGCAAGGATACACACTGCCCAAGGAAGTCCATGACCTGTGGCAAATCCCATTTTCCCTTGATTCAGAAGGGCAGAGATCGGGGCGGCCAAGACTCCATGGAGGGACCCCGACTTCACATATCTTGGGTTGCAGATCAGGCAGCCTCATTCAAGGCCACCTTGTACCCCACCTGCCCTGTGATCTGAAGCCATCCGTTCTCCACCACAGACCCCTAAGTTGGAGGTGCCACTCTTGGCGGGGCACTCTACAGCAACCCTCCAGTGGTTCCCAAGAAATGAATGGGCAATGACTCTCTTTCACTACCTTCTCATGGGGGAGGGACAGAAGCTTCTGGGATGAGGTCCCCGGCGGCTGAGCTTGTGTGAGGCCCAGCACATCGGATTTCATGACTGGTAGAGCTTTCAATGTGTGCTCTCGCAAGGAAACACCGGCTCCATCCCCTGCTCTTTTTCCAGCCTGGCACTCTGGAAAGTAGTGAGTTTTGAGCCAGCCGGAGATGTCAAAGGGGATGGCGCTTGGAACGAGTGACATTGC